CACCACCACTGTCTGAGGCCTTCAGCTGCCAGTGAGCTTCATTATCCAGCTGGTATTGATCCACTTGGCACCAGTAGGTTCCACTATCCTCTTCATGGGCTTTCTGAATACTTAGGTAAAAGCTTTTCTGAGTGGGTCTGGACAGGCGTAGCCGCTCCTGCAGGCCTCTGATGTCTTTGTTCTCTGGGTAACTCACCAGGCCGGTGTGATCAAGCTCCACCAGGGAGGCTTTCTTCAAAGAAGAACTGTGTGCAGCATAATGCCAAATGACTCGATAGAAAACCAAAGAACCAGAAGCTCCTGAGGTGATGCTACAGTTGAGCTTGACTTCATCTCCTTCTTTGGCAGTCAGCTGCTGCTCTTTCTTATCTAAACGAAGGTTGGGGGCTAGAAAATAGAAATAAGAAGATGAAGTTATATATTTCTAAATGGCATGTTTCATTTATTTTTGTGCTTATGCCACATGCCATATACAATATGGCATGTGAAGTAATAAAGTAATGAAAAATAAATGTATTCACCAGGCTCAGTAATTGTTAGCACTGTGCTTTTGGACACTGTTGAGAGCAGATACCATTCACCACGAGGATCTTGAAGCCACTCGCCCACTTTGCATGTATATAAACCTTTATCTGAGATTCGAGCTTGCCAAATAATCAGTTCAAAAGTGGGTCCTTTGCTGCGCCTCATGCTGATTCGCTGACGCAGGTCCACCTGGGATTCCGTTACTATGGAATTCCGGTCCAAGCTTACAATGGTCTTATTTCCGGCATTTTCCTCATGCAGCCAGGTGATCGAATAGAGTGATGATTCAGACGTTTTTGTGATGATGGAGCATGTTATTGTTATGTCAGTGTTCATGTTTGTTGTCAACGCAGGAATAGGTGACACATCAAGCCTGCTTACTAGAAAAGGAGACAACATTTTCATTATTTTCTGAGGAAACAGGAAAAAAATGACTCTTTCTATTTAATGATGCCCCCAAATGGCTGCAGCTGGCAGTACCTGGGTTGATTACTATCACAGAAAGCTGATTGGATGCTTTCAACTCCTTGTGCACATTCTTCAGTAAGACAGACACATTACACTGGTAGCTTCCTCCTTCTCTGTGGCTGGTACCAATGACCAGCAGATAGTACATGACTTCAGTTTTTCTGCTTTCTACTCGTAGCTGGTAGTGGTTCTGATCTGCAGACCAACTGATGGTGCCATCAGGGGAAAGTGTCAGGATGGTGTCTGGTGTTTTAGCCTCACGTTGCACGCTCCAAGTCACTGTTACCGGCATGTGTGGACCTTTGACCCGGCACATCAACTCCAATTTTTCTCCAACAATCACCCGAGTCTTGCGACTGATTAGAGACACTCCCATCAGCGTGTCTGACACAAAAATCCAAAATAGTCAGTGACAGCAAGTAAGAAAGGAGAAGCTGATGATCAAGCAATCATTAGTGTTGAAAGCAAAAAGGAGATGTGAATACATGGCTACAAAACCACAACTGGCTTCTCAGTCTACACAATATGGCTATTGTTATGTCACCCTTCATTTCTTACGTAAAAGCAAAGAACGTTGCTTGTAAATGTAAAGTTTGGTTTAATTGCAGGGGTACAGTAAACAAAGGAAGGATTCCCAACGGTGACAAGATCTCAATATCAGGTTTTGGATATTTGTCTAGCATTTTCTTGTGATATATCACTATGAGCTAAAGTGTTCAATGGACATATCTGCAAATAAACAGATCAATAGCCAAGCAGATCCAAATCCACATATTTACTTTGCTAATTTATTATTAAACAAATCAAAACACTCAATAAGAAGAAAAACCTGTTGTAATGAAGGTAACAAACACACAGACACATCTTACCTATAGAAATCACTGTCACAGTGGTAGTTTGTGTCTGGGTGTGAGTCTTGCCATTAGTTATGCGCTCAGACACAGCACACCGGTACACTCCTGAATCAGACAGTGTGACCTCATCAAGCACTAGGGTGAAGTTGTCAGTAGATGGACGCATCACCCTCACTTTGCGACTCACAAACTCCTCTGCTATCTCTGTAACACCCTCCTCATTTATACTGATGATCTCAGTGAACGGGGCCGTTGATGTTGATTTGTGTTGCCAGGTGACAGAGAGCTGACCTTGAACCCCATCCACTTTACAGAAGAGATGCAGCCCGCCCCCTTCGGCCACATTTACAGCCTGCTGCATTTTGACTGTCAGCCTGTTTTCTGTGAGGAGATGAGGCAAGAGACAAATAGTACTGCTGTGTTTGAGAAGATAGTCATAGAAAAAGTAATTTTACAAACAGCAAAAACATAAATAAGAAAACTAACACTTTGAAACTACAAGTGAGCCTTAATAACAGCAGGTAAAATCAACAATGTAAAAAGGAAAGTGAAATAAACCCTGAATAACTGAGTGTGTGTGTTCACTATGACAGACCCTGGGGCTGAAATGCTACAAAACATAATGTTCAGTCAAACATTCTGAAGACAGTTTTGTTTTCTGAAAGCCGCACTCACAATTCAGCTAAAAAAAATACATAAAACAAAATATTTTTTGCTCGCTGGTGATAAATGTGCAATCTCATTGTTGAGTGTTGAGATGTGGGAACCTAAAATTTTGACTTATGACAATGCAAAGAGTAAATCCACTAAACAACATGATTTTGCTTTGTAGATGTATTCCATCTAGATTTCCTGTGGGGAAATGTAACGTTTGATTTAATGTTGTTCAGTAAACAAAAGAAGGGTTCCCAAAGGATTACATTAAGACTCTCAATATCAGTATGTTTTGGATGTTTTTATGCCATTATCTTTTAATATATTACTATGGGCTAAATGGTTTAATGAATATATCTACAAGTAAACAGCTAATTACTCAAACTGACCAAAATCCATATATTTACTTTGTTATTCCTTCTGTAATATTTGAAGTGTAGTTTAACAAAGAAGTGTTAGAATTTATGATAGAAACACCTGTTACAATGAAGGTAATATCATATTTTACATAGTTTGTACTACACAAACACACAGACACAGCTTACCTATAGAAGTCACTGTCACAGTGGTAGTTTGTGCCTGGTTGTGAGTCTTGCTGTTAGGTTTGCGCTCAGACACAGCACACTGGTACACTCCTGAATCAGACAGTGTGACCTCATCAAGCGCTAAGGTGAAGTTGTCAGTAGATGGACGCATCACCTTCACTTTGCGACTAACGAACTCCTCTGCTATCTCTGTAACACCCTCCTGACTCATGCTGATGATCTCAGTGAACGGGGCCGTTGGTGTTGGTTTGTGTTGCCAGGTGACAGAGAGCTGACCTTGAACCCCATCCACTTTACAGGAGAGATGCAGCCCGCCCCCTTCGGCCACATTTACAGCCTGCTGCATTTTGACTGTCAGCCTGTTTTCTGTGAGGAGATGAGGCAACAGACAAATAGTATGACTGTGTTTGAGAAGTTAATTATAAAATAATTCAATTTCACTAACAGTAAAAACAAATAAGAAAAATCACCTTGTGTAATCCTTAATAACTACAGATAAAATTAACAATGAAAAAGGGGAAAGAGTTAAACCTGGAATGTGTTCACTTTGACACACCTGTGGCTGAGACGCTGACCCGCTGTGGGCTGGAGTCTTTGGGTTCTCCCTCAATAAAAGTATCATCTTGGCCTCTCTCTTGAGGCCAGACTGTACAGATATACTCTCCCTGATCCTCAGTTCTCACAGGCTTTAAGATGAGACGGTAATCTCTGTTCCCACTCCGGGCGGCTCTGAGCTCTCCATTTTTCTGTCGAACACTGTACTCCGGTGCCACAGTGAGAACGCCTGTGGGACCAATGCGGGCCAGCTCCACACTTCCCTTGAGCCATGCTACAGAGAAGAATCTTTTCTCCACGTCCTGTGTGTTTATATTACAGGACAGCATCAGCTCCTGCCCCTCCTGCAGCGCTGCCGGCTGTGCTGAGATTTCCACTGCCAGAGACGGAGACGATGGCTCCACCACCTCTACTCAAGACAAAAAATGAAAACAGTGAGACATCCACACAGGTGTCTATAGGATAAGTACATTTAATGTGCTGACCAATATCAAGATGTGTTATAAATATAGCACGACTGAGTAAAATTCCAACCTGTGGCTTTAACTGTCAGGGTCATTTCTTCTGCATTCTTCTGTATGATGATGTACCAGGAGCCATCAGGATCTTGGATCCACTCCTGAGCCTGGCAGTAGATCCTACCTTGGTCTGATGGCTCAACCTCAGCCATCTTTAGGCTGTACGAGGCCTCTCCCCATTTATCTAAGCGTATGAGACCTGCTTGGTAACGCCTTTCAAACCCCTGGCCTGGGCTCAGTGTAAAATCTCTATTCAGAGAAATGATAGGCTGAGCGTCCTCCTGTCCATCTTTATGGAGATACCAGGCAACAGACAGATGGGTGTGCTGGCTGGTGCTGCTAGAGGCCAGGCATGTTAAAGTCAGAGCTTCACCCTCGTTTAAGCTCAGTGGCGTGGAAGCAGATGATGAGACACTCAGGGAGTCTTCAATCACTATGAAACCACATCAGAGAAATCAAAAGTCATGAATGCTCTGACATCATCTGTACCATACCTACATGAAGACACATTCAAGCGTTATGACTGAAAATCAGGATGGCGATTGATTACCTTTAACGACTGTCTTAGCAGAATACTCTCCATCATAAGCACCTTCTAAGTTGACTGCAGTACATTCATATTCCCCTTCATCAGTTTTCTGCAGACTTTTTATCTCGAAGCGGACTGAGTTTGGTGAGAGACGTTTCAAAGTAATTTCATTTTTTCTCACACGGGATAGGTGAGAAGAATATCCAAAAGTATCTTCATGTGAACTGATGATTTGGATCTCAAAGTCTGGGTTTGAAGGCTTCGTCATACGGAATTCAAAATGTTTGTCAGTGTTTTCACTTCTGAAGCCACTCACACTGCAGGTGATGGAGAGGGGAGAGCCTAACACACGATACAGAGGCCCAGCTTGTACTTCAGTTTTCACTCTGGCCTCTCCTGAGTAAAGCAGAGACAAAACGCAAATGAAGTCATCTGAATCCTGCAACTTCAAAGTGCCACTTGTGTATTTATAAGTATTAAAGTATCTAACATATATGTTGCAGGCATGTTACAAATGAATGATAGAATGAATACACAATATTTTCAGAAAGATTTATATATTTTTTTATTTGTTAAGTTATTTTCTGCAAAAATATGGTTTTTATGACATTTCGGCTAAAAAAAGAAAAAATGTTTGCAAGTTTTGAAAAAAGATATATTCACCCTCCAGGTGATGGCCACAATCAGCCACATGACTGTGTTTTTTGTTAGTTCCTTTTTAAGGAAACTGTGGGTTCCTGTCACAAACTGTCTGAGGTAGTCTTACAAGTCTAGACGAAGATTACGAGGATAGGAGTGCTATTCAGACTGTGATAGAAATCTAATTAAATCAAATAATGTGTACAATCGTCTTCTTTTCATCCAAGTAAAAACTGCTTGTTTTCTTGAGTCACTTTATTTTCCTCTATGTAGGAAATATTTTTTCCCCAGAGAAAGCAAACATTTTGTCAAGATCTGCAGCCTGCAGATGATGTGAAACTGAATGAGGGCACCAATGCAGGAGACACTGACAGGCAGGAACAAGTTAATATAAAGTGAGCTTTCTATTAACACTGATCGTAAAGGTATAAAATAAGAGAAACCAAAATTGAACAAATTAAACTGGGAAATACGAGGAAACATGGAATCTAAACGACAGGAGGGCAGCTGAGGGAACACTCAGACTACAGGGGGATAATATATAATAATATAGCCTATACACAAGGGGAATATTGAACACTTTAAATTCCACACTTTAAAAACAAAACACTGGGTCAAAATCCAGACCCATGAAACATTTATTGCTACCTATTTCATGATGCAAATGATACATGAAAATAATTCGGAGCTAATTTGCTTTCGCAAACAACACAGACAATATTTTAGCTTTACCAAAGACGGTGAGCTTAACATGCAAATGTACTGATGGTAATTCTATATTTTTATTCTATTCAAAATGGACATACAGTGTGTTCTTACCAACAGCTTACTTTAACACAGTTAATATTCTGACATCTCCAGTGAATCCTCGAGGTCACTGACTAGAATCCACTCCAGCTAAAGGAAGCCAGTGTACCACTTACCACAACGCAAAAGCTGACCCAGGCAGAGAATCAAACTGGACCTCCAAACCGAGAGCAGGAAACAACTCATCATGAACCTTCAGCTTCAGTCTCAGCACTTTACGTCCTCGGCATAGCCTCTGTCATCAAGTTCTTAGTCTGTGTGAAAATCTGCCTGTGTCTTTTCACACTTGTTAAAGTGGTTTATGTTTCCTGTCGGTGACCTAGAGCAAGAGGAAGTCTGAGATATTTCCTGCATACTGCACATTATTCATGACTTTTGTGTATGTGTGCAGGTGGATTGGTGGAGATCAGTAACATCGTTTTTTTTTTCCATCCTCGATCGAAACATTGGATGGTTACACGCGTGGTTAGACAACCTTAAGCCGAGCGGGCTCATAAGTGGGTCACCAAACTGTTCATTCTGTTCATTTCTATGTAGCGTTTTCAGAGGGAGAAACGTTTCGTCACTCACCCAAGCGACTTCTTCAGTCTCAACTTTTGCATAATGACTGAAACTTGGTGCTAGTTTCAGTCATTGTGCAGAGCTATACTGTTTACAAGGTTGGGGGGAAACCTGCAGTCAGCTGCGACTGAGATGAGACTTCCAGATGAACGGATGAACTTTTTGGGAAAACATATGTAACTTTTCGATTATTCATCGACTTCCTTTAAAATATATTTTCATAGCATGGTCATATTGTTGCATAGGCGACTTGTGAGATTGCGTAGAAACGGTCCCCATCTGAGTTTGACCCAGTTTTTGCAAACATTGATAATTTGAATGCGTCTGTTTGAACATTCCTGTAGATTAATGACGCAATATTGCCATCTGGTGGAGACTAGAAAGACGTACAGTTCTACACAGTCAAATCAGCGTTTCAACATTTAGACTGTTTAAACATGGTGGAAAACGTTTGATATAATAGAGACAAGCTAAGAAAGAGAAGGGGTAAACATTTTATCAAGTTCATACAAACAAGAAAATTTAATGATGTATGCAGAAGAAATAAAGAAATACACATTTAAGAAGCCCATAAGTGATATTTCAATCCAGAATGACTATTGTGAATTCAAAAACAGTGGGGGAAAATGATGCCATTAAGTAGCTTATTAATAACTAATAAAGTATTTTGTTATAATCTACACTCATCCATCACTTTGTTAGGTGCATTACTGTGCACAAGTTTTAAAACACCCCTCATTTCTTTAACAACATCCCAAAGTGGCCAATATTAAGCTGATGGTTGTTGTGGTATATACTGGAAAATGACAGATAGGTGCAGCAAGTTATTCATGTGCAAAGATAAATGGTAATATGGTATTTAAGGTCATAAATAGAGTTCTGCCTTTTTCTCCATTCTGTATCAAGATGATCCCACACTGCTTTAGTAATGTACAGGTCTGGGCTTTGGGGAGGCCAGTCCATGACTTTTACTGCATTGACAGTGAGCTTTTTGTTCATAATTCCATCAATTTTAACAATTTTAGATTCCCAACACCACTGGCTGAAATTCAGCCCCAAAAACTCCACAATGTTTTACAGATGTGTGTAATGACACATGTATAACACTTACTGTTTTACAGCTTTTAACCGAAAATTTCAAATTTGGAGTCATCACTCTATATGACATGTTGCAACTGATTTTCAGTTCAGTTCTTGTGTAATTTGAAATATCTCAGCCTTTTCTCCCTGTTTCCTTTCCTTAAGAATGGCTTCTTGACATCCACCCTTCAAAGATACCATTTCTGATGGTGTTTCAATGAACAGTAGATGACCAGGTGAAGGGCCAGATGCATTTTTCAGGTTTTGTGGCAGGTCCTCCAGGTCCTCACCCCTGGACTTTTTTCTTGTTAAGATACGATCTTCAAATAAGGTTCATTTGTGTCGCAAGTTTTAGTCTTGTCCACTTTTCCCTAAAAGTTTTAAAGACATACTACGAAATATGGTGAGATATGGTATATGATATGGCATATGATATCTCTTTTAGAATCACTTTGTTGGTGCAAAAACAAAATTTTATGCCTGTTAAAAGATGTTGTCTTCAACTAAAGCAAATGGGGACAAATAAAGCATTATTGTGTAGACACAACACTGATTGAAGTTCCTTTTTTTAATGCTTCAGTGATTCATTGAAGTCAAGTGGCTCAACAAACCTGTCAGAAATGCTCTGAAAATGGTCAGATACAAAGACTGGGCTAAAAATGAGTGGAAAAACATCAACATGTCGAAAAAAAAAAGGAGAAAAAAACTTTTAAAGAGCTGAAGAAGGACTATATAACTATTGCTTAAAAATACTTGAACAAACAAACAAACAAACTATGAACAAACCAAACAAATCAGAATGAGAAAAAATATGATCTGAGTAACTTTGAACATGGTTATAGTATTTCGGAAACTGCTAATCTGATGGGATTTTGTCACAAAATCATCTCTAGCATTTACAAAGAATGGTCAGAAAAAGAGAAGAGATCCAGTGAGACATCAACCGCGCATTTTTTGTATGTGAAAATGTATTTTTTGATGGCAGGGGTCAGAGGAGAATGTCAGACCTGCTTTGAACTGACAGGAACAATTCGTTACAACCAAAGTAGGCATAAGAGCAACTTGAACGCATAACATATCAAACGTGTCAAGGTTCCACTTCTGTCAGTGAAGAACAGGAAACTGAGTCTAGAGTTTACAAAGACTGAAGATGGGGGGGAAAATGCTGTCTGGTCTGATGAGTCTGCTGGTAGGGTTAGAATCTGGCATAAACAACATGAAAAGATGGGTTTATCCTATCTTGTATCAGCGGTTTACACTGCTGGAGGTGCAATGATGCAGGAGAGATTTTCTTGGGACAGTTTGGCCCCTTTACTACCAAATAAACATCATTTAAATGTTGTAGCCTACCTGAGTATTGCTGCTGAACATGTCCATACCTTCATGACCACAATGTGACCATCTTGTGATAGCTGCTTCTAACAGGATAGTCCCATCATGTCAGTATGGATCAAAATTTCTGATGAATGTTTCCAGAACCTTGTTGAATCTACAGGAAGAATCAAGGCAGTTATGAAGGCAGAGAGGAGGTCCAACCCAGAATGAGCAAAATGCATCTAATAGAGTTGCCAGTGAGTTTATCTTACTACTTTGCATTCGAATGACTGCACAATACCAATACATAAAATGTATATTGGAGGGCAGAGTGCTGCCTTTTTATTGTCAATACTAATTGGACAAAAACATAAAACAATGTGGGTTTTTTTGTTTTGTTTTTCTGCTTTTTGCTGTGTTTACTGAGACACTTTTACCGTCTCAGGCTTCTAAATCTGGTAAAATGTCACAATCTAAGGCTCCTCTTCTGATGAATCACAAACTTACGCAACCACGGAGTTCTTTAGGCTAGCATACGTCAAAATGGTCGTGAACGAATGCCTCTAGGGGTTTGAGGGACTTTCTCACGTATGGGAAGCACGTCATCTTTCATGTTTCCCAGCATGATACAACCTGCTGGTTTAGATATAAAAAGGTAGCCTTCTAGTTAAACTTGGACTTATGGCGCCAGTGTGATGGTGTGATGCAAGAAAACTCAAGATGAGGAGTTCACAGGAGCGTTCTGCTTATGTTTGAGATGAAATACTTTTATCCCACCTAGGTTAAGCTGCTGAGCAGACTTCTTTCTCTTTTTTCTTTTTTTTGCAGTCATCTTTTTCATAGAAGAGACCTGCCATCATTGTCTGTGATAAAAACGAAAAACATAGAAAGGCAAAAAAAACTGTCTAGCTTAGAGAGAAATTTACTCAGCTGAAGACGAAGGGGAAGTGTTATGCATACGCATGTCCCTTACAGAACAGGAATAGGAAGTATGAAGAAGACAGGAAAAAACACAAATCCACTTCTCAAAGCAAAAGAACTGCTGCAAGCGTAAACCACACATGTTTGTTCACTTTCTATTTAGGCTGCATGTGCAGGTGTTTCTGAAGGTGGCTGCATGCTGCTCTTCTGCAGAAAGGGAGTTTTGAAGCTCTGCTGGTTTGAAAGATGAGTGACTCACTGGAGAGGACTACAGACTGTCCTTTGCCGCTTCTCGCTGAGGAGTCCAACGTGAACGAGGAGAAAGGGAATGTAACAGGACCAAGTGAGTTACGTTGGGAAGATGGAGGTCTGCCCATGGAGCTCCAGAAAGGGATGGAAACCTTACGAGTGAACAGAGAATTGACTGATGTGACACTGCGCGTTCAGGGTCATGACTTCGCTTGCCATAGAGCGATTCTGGCGGCTGCAAGTCACTACTTCAGGTAAATCATCATCTGGTCTTAACTGTGTCGTGATCTCGGGCCTACTTGTTTTACTCACAAATTATGGCCGGTCTCTACAGGGCAATGTTTTGCAGCGGTCTCAAGGAGAGTCATGAGGAACGTGTGGAAATGAAAGGTTTGGACAGCGGGACGATGCACTGTCTCTTGGAGTATACCTACACCAGCCGAGCTCTCCTCACACACTCGAATGTCCAGAGAATACTCGAGGCTGCCAGTCAGTTTCAGGTAAAGCAGCTTAACTGATCTTTGTTGCTCAATCAGGGTTTTTGTTTTGCAAAATCATTGTCTGGTGCCAGGTCATTGACATTTTTAACACCAATGTAAAGATGTAGTGAAATCAAACAGCGGAGGCAAAAAAGTTCTACAAATCGAGGTGTGAATTTAGACTTTAAAGACCAAGTGAACCATTTTTTACAAAGACATTTGAGCTTAACATGTTTTTCACATAAAGGCAGTACAGCTTGAATTTAAGTCCATAAAATAAATCAACCATAGGGTTTATAATTAATCTGACTGAAAGTTGTTTTAGTCGAGTTTAACTTGAAAAAGGCTTTTGGCAGCAAACGATCTCTTTCAATGAATTTTTAAACCATCAACACCATCGGTTCATACAAACTTTTTTATATCTCTTACATTTTAACCACCTGCATGTAAAGTCAGTTGGAACAAATAGGCCATCAAAGGAATGAAGACGCCTCGTGCTGAGTTAGCAGCAGAAAGCAAACCATTTATTTCTAATCGGGATGATGGATTTGGTGTTGTGATGTGGAACTGTAATTAAATTTTTGAAACTGCTATCAGCTTCTTACTTCAGTTTTTTCCTTGCGTAAAGGGAACAAACACATGATTGAATGAGAAATTGGTTTTGCTAAGAGGGAAGTGAAAGTTGGTCAGTTGTTTACACTCAGGATCATTTTTCCATAAG